AACGTTTCCGGGCTTTTTCGTTCTTACGAAAAACTGATGACAGTTGTTATTTTATTTTTGGTTCTTATCAAAACTACATGGTAAAATCTTTTCCAATCATTCCAATTCTTTTCTCTTCAGAAAGGTTTAAATTACAGTTATAACATTTTCCCCTCATGCAATCTTATGTAGAAGTGTTTCAAATTTAATTATTGATGGTCGGATGAGATCCTTTTCCTATACTTTGCGTGTTAAAACGCCAGATTTTAAATGTGATTATCTCTTTTCATATTTTGGGAAAGCGAGTAAAGCATATAATATTTTGATAAATTTCAGTTACAACGTTTGATTTGACGGTGCAACTGAAATAATATACTTGAAGTTGAGATGTTCAATGCTCCGAAATTTTGATTAACAAAGTATAATAAGTGCCAATGTAAAATTCATAAATTTCAATTTCCATAAAAATGTTATATTAGATCTCATTTTGTTTTGTTTATAGTGCATGTGTGTGGAAATGCTATTATATAGAATTTGACATATTTTGAAAGTGGTGGGATGTATAAGTTTTGCGCATTAGCTGTTACTTTCAGCTAAGCAATTAGAGTACGACATTCTGTACAATTGTACTTAACAATTATACAACCTGTTTAATAAAATACAATTTAGAGTGAGAAAGTGAAAATATTGAACGGGGAATGCCAGCTGCCATCTAAAGGCGCCTGAGGGAACTACCAGGGTCTCCCGTGGCTGCCACCGCTTTCCAGTGAGGAGCCCTCATCTCCGAGGACGTGAGGCTGAGGTAGTTCTTAGGTCCATCTCGGTTATGTACCTTCGCCCTTGGGCCCATGACCTCACATCGGTGTTTGTGCCATTCTTGTGGGTGTAGGGAGCCAGTTTCTTATTCATGCACCCGGATAGATTGCACACAGGTCATTCAGACATTTACTGCCCATAGCAAGGTATTGGATATTGGATACAGGAGATAGTGCGAATGTACCCCATGCCACAAACACAATTGAACAATCGGGAAGGGCATCCGACACAGACATGTAATGAGTCCTTGTCCATCCAAGCTTCTCCAACTCACAAGCCTGTCAGGAATGACAGAATATGAAACGAATTATTATGTATGTAAACACATTATTTTTTGGCGTCTTTAACAGCAATGGAAATAAAGATTCGCTCTGAAAGCACTGGAGTACTTGCTGCTGTTTGATATTTTGGCAGAACAATATTTGGAGACTTCCCGTAGTGACCGACGGCGCGCACTTTTGTAGTCTGCGCCGAGCTTGAGATTATGAACATGTGGAGAGCTTTGATCACAGAAATCACATCAATAGAATTGAATTTGAAAATTAGATAATCATGCTGGATTATCTGAAATGCATAGATTTTGTGCGGCGGATTAATGACAAAAACACTTCGCAACAAGAAAATTGATCCACAAGTTCTTAAATTACCAAAGTAAATGTAAGGAAGTCAGGGTTTCTGGTAGCTTTTTGCAATAAATATGAATTTCAGTTACGTGTTGAACGCCATTGTAATAGTTGAATCGTTACAGCCAAATGGTTCACGTGTATGTCTCTAGTATGTTTTCGTTAATGAATTGTGACCAGTGGCAGCTGCTGCCTTTAATTAATGTGGGGGGGGGGGTTGATGCAAAAATAGAAAATGGAGGGTTGAGATGTGTTCAATACCGGTGTAGGTCTCCGCGAGATTTTATACCGCACTTTTCTTGAAGAGTTACGCTTCTAAATTTCACAATTTTTACATATTAAACAAAATTACTATTCGTATCCATTCAACACATGAATAAGTGGTGCTAAAACAGCACGTTCTTTCTCGCTTGCATTTTCACGCAAAATTACGCGAAGAGTACTCAAATTTTCGAAAAATTGTACATGACCCTATTTCAAAATATATATTTAAGGATGAGATTTCAGAAAGCAACAAATCTCTATCGTCAATATTTTAGTTCTAGAAAGACTACGAAAAAATATAAACTTTGGCAACTTTCGAAAAATCAGGGGATTTAACGAAAAGAGACCAACATCATTCTCTTAATAACATCCTTCAAAAAATTTAATAAAAAACATTTTGAGAATGTTTCAGGGGTTTCAGTGACATCAGTTAGATCGATTGGGGAATATCAATTTTGGAAAAAATCGGTTGAGCGGTTTAGCCGCTAGCGTTGTACACAGACGGACGGACAGTTACATTTTGCCGTCATTCAATTTTACGCTATCAAAGACTTACAAAATATGGATTCAGGCTATACCACGTGTTCGAGGATTTTTATTTCTAAAGTCATCCACTTCTTCGTTACCAGAGCCCTGTAATAAGCGTTTTCCTGCGGAAAATTAGCTGTTATTTCGCGTAGCATTACATAACTTTCTCTCTACTCCGTAGCGAGAAAAAACAACATAAAAATACAGTAAAGAGCACCTCAACTTTATAGTAAGTCCGCCAAAGCTTTAAAAATCTTGTAAACTTTGCCTGCAGTCCCTAGGGTCTCAATATTGAGAAACATGAATAGTAGGGGAAGCGAAATCAATTATGCCCGTATTCTGTGGCTGGGACTAGCAGTCCCAGGGAGGGAAATGGTGTATCAGCAGATCACGGCGAATGCTTTTCACAAGTTACACACGCACCAGCAGTCAGCTATATTAGACACGTAATTGAAAGAAATACTATGTCGCATATTTTATTTTATTATCAAAGAGAAAATAAATAATTTTGACAAGGACTGGGAGGGGCTCAGCCCCGCATACTAGCGGGCAATGTTGCAACAAACGATGTGTTTAATGATATGGTAATGACTGTAAGATTACGAATGATTGAAAGATACTGAATGCTTAAAGTCAAGTTAGCAATTCTTTGAATTTGGAGGAGGAAACTATCTAGACTAGACATTTAAGAGCAGCTTTTACAAAGGAATATTCAAAGGTGCAATAAATGACTTCGTTCTCACTATCAACAAAACACAGAGCCAATTTTTTGATAAAGATGGCGTGTTTTTAGAAGAATTCTGTTTTACCTCGCGTCAGGGTTGTTAATATGTGTTTTTTAAATTTAAACAAAACATGATTTTTTTAAAAACAAATGATTTGAAAAAATGGGTTTTAATGGATTGAAAACAAACATGTTTAATCGTTTATGTTTTGAACACACGTAAAATCACTTCAACAACTGACATTGTTTTGAAATTCCTTTTTAATATAGCATCTGAGAAATACGCTGGTCTCGAGCACTTCAACGTTCCAGCTCATTGGATGTAAAAGCAGACTAATATTAAGTCACCCGAGAAAATTATTTCCAACAACATTACCCCGAAATATAGTATGTTTCCTGTTTAAGGGCATGATATTATTAAGCTGTCGTTATCTCAACAAAATGTACCTTTCGCACGTGAATGATCATTAACGCAATAACAATAATATCTATTATTATCATTATTATTGATATTAATAATAATAACAATAATAATATTTTTTGCGTAAATTGGAAAAGAATTTGAAATGGTAAATTTCAATTTCCAGCGTTTTGTTTTAGGCGATTTCACTCCAAAAGTAATTTGAGGGTCGGAAGCAGTTGAATATTTTGAAAATAGCTTCTCATTAAAGTATTTTAAATTCACTCCGAATCCTTCAAAAAATGAAGATAATATTGAATAATTCCCGTGTTTGTCGGCGGGCAACAAAAGAGTATCGGAACTTCCTTTATAACTCTTTGTTCACTCGCCAGGTAGCGTTTCAGAAATGATGAAAAATAGTTTTGAGATTTTTTTGGAAAGTTGAAGTTATTTCTTTCAATAATTTGTGTTTTTTTGTTTTTTGTCTGAATTATTTTGAGAACCGTACAACTCTTTGACCGCAACTGAGACTTCTTAGAACATTTTGAATATTCCGACTTCTGCGCCCATCCCTTTTCCTTGGTTTTTAAATTTAATTATTTGTTATAATTTTTCGAATTTTGCAGAACTTTTTTCGAAACCTTTCGATAACTCTAGAAATATTTGTTTGCTACTCAGGACTCTCAAAATATTAAGGAATTATAAATTTCAGCTCGCCAACTTCACACACCTCGATGTCCCTTCTCCAAGTCCAAATGATTCTATTCGGTCAATAAGAAAAAAACATTTTTGAACTTCGAATTTGGAAGCCTGTGTGACTGTGCAGTGGAGTTTAACCTGTTACCAGTAGCAAAATGACTGGAAGGAAAAGAGATTCGGTTTGGTCCAATTTCATTGAAGTGAAAGAAGGAAAGAAGCAAAATGCCGAAAGTGTGATTGATTTGTTGTTGCGTTTGGTGCTCGAATGCATTCATACTCGAAAAAATATGTTTCTACTGCCTCTGCCGTGAGATTTGCGTTGAATATAGTGCTTTTGAAAGTAACAGTGATCATTCCAGATCAACAGATACTCTGAGTGCTAAATCAAATAAACAGTATTTTCTAACAGTCAACTACTGTTACAAAACGTAAATTACACAATTTATGTGTAAGATATTTTATTATTATAGTTTATGTGTTCATGTGCTAGAAAGTTGTCGGAATAATGTATGTATTTTGCCGGATGATGGCTCCGCAATGAGCTTCGAAATGTTGTGAAGTGATGTAAATGTTAATAAACATTGTGTGATAAGAATTATAGAGTTGTATTAATGAAAGAAAAAAAATATTGTTTTTATTCATGTGAGAGAGTTTGATTTCGTTCCTTCATCTTTGAGGAATTAATCCTAGTTTTACCACCTGACCTCTAGTGTGAGAGACCTATGAGAAATCTGCCTGAGCGAGCTTTGGGGATACTCAGCACAATGGCCAACCAGCGACACTGGCTTTGGCGGAACACGAGGAACTTAAATGGGAATGGTTCCTAGGAGAGCGTTAGTTATCATTAATTTCAATTATTTATTCACAACATTCATCATTCATTTCTTTATCATCACTCGCTTTCATTCGCTCATTAAATAATTTTATTCGTACGTTCATTCTTTCCATTCATGTCTTCAGTGCATACCTCTTATAAGCGCGAATGGCTTGCGGGAGATTGCTGTCGGGTTCCTTCATGAGGTAGCGGCGTGTGCCGCGCAACGCGTCCCTGAAGAAGGCCTCGGGTACGAGGTTGTCCAACTGGTAGCTGAATCCCTCACGATCCTCTGGCTGTATCCTCTTTTCCAGATCCATGAAACGGTTGTTCAAGAAGTCCCAGCTTTGCAGGACGAAAAATGAAAGCGCCATGTTGGCCGAGTAGATTCGGCGCTGCAGGCGAATCAACCTGCGACATAGTGGGCACCGTCACTGCGACAGTGGAAAGACATGCCCTAAGATTAGAAAATGATGCCTGGGCTGTATGTGTGGAACCTTATGTGGAACCTCGGGCGGTTGATGAAACAACCAATAGACTCAACACCCGAGTTAGCAACCCTCCAAATATCTCTTGGATAGTGGAACAATCCACTACCAAGACCGATAAATCCAGAGGACTCAACAAGATACACAGAAATTATAGTTTCAAAAGAGATAAGGTTTCACAACTGGAAAATGACATTAATGCCATTTTTATTTATACGTCTGATTTTTTTTCAAAATTTCGAATTTTTTAAAATTTTTTTTATATTTACAGTACGGATGTTTTGTACATTATTTCTTGTGGAAGTAAAAGTACTTCAAATGATTTCAAATCAAGTTGATCGAATATTGAATATTTTTGTTTGAAAATGATCTCAAATTTGCGCATTTGCAGAAAAACTCAAACGTCATTTTCTCAAAAACGGCTTCAAATTTTCCAACAAAAAATGCGTTAATATTAATTGAATAATTTTATAGCATATTCTGTTCTATATTACATTACAGGCACAATAGAAAAAAAATATCCTTTAGGCGGCATTAGATGGCAGCTGGGAAGAATGTGCCGGATAAATATTAGTGTACACAAAAGAGATTAGAAAAATTAATTGGTACGAGAACGATTTTGTCACATTAAGTTTACTTGTATTCCCAATCCTCACTACCCCTCCCATCCACAACACGTCCATATACAAACCCACGCAAACAGGTCAGCAAGCGCAAATAAATAAAGACTCGTAGGTATCTAAAGATAGCATCGCCAAAATACCAATTTCAACCAAAGGATATCCGAACTTTAAGCCAATTAAATGCTCTATTCCCTAATTTTAGATTCTTTTGGTTTTCCCAAAATTGTGGGCGCTGCCAGCTTTAGGCTAAATCTAGCAGCAACCACCTACCAAATCGGGATAGTGTCATCGAAGGAAGGTAGACTATCATCAAATTGAGTGATCACACCTGTGCAACGTATTAATAAATTACAATTTCGCTCAAGAGTTGTTCCCAGACGACCGGTAGATGGACGGCTTCTTGAAAAAAAAACACTTTACCGGTATCAGATGAACCCAAAACTTATATTTTCGTTGAAATGTAGACGACGATATATATATATATATATATATATATATATATATATATATATATATATATATGATTCAGTATACGTAGTGTAGTACATTCATATACAGACATGTAAACGGAAAACAAAGTCGCGGCCAGAGTCATGTGCGTGATCTGCGCTGTGCGGGTGACGCCGCGTCGCTGTGCGGGTGTTGCCGCCGTTTAGACATACTTGTACTGGTACTTGCTTTTATCCCGAGAAGTGGCGGTGAACTTCCCTCACTAGATGGTGAGATCCAGCGCCGACCTACCAGTCCGCTTGCGAGTTTTTCCCAAAACAGGTATTTCTCACTAGAGGGACCATGGCGGGACCAGCTCTAAATTCCCGACCGGTGCCCCGGTGTGTGTGGTAATGTATTGCATGTAAGTGTAAGTGTGAGTACGAAAGGGATGGGCATAGGACAAGGAGGAGGAAGAAAAGATAGGGCGTGATCCGTGGCCGTTTGTTAGAGTACTGCTCCGTTATTCGCCTGGCGTTAATGGGAGAAACAGCAGGAAAGTACCGATCAGACCCGCTGGTTGTTAGAATTCTCTTCTCGACTGTTGCTGAATTAGACCCAGATATATTAGTCCGAACTAGTGGCGAAAATCCTGCGATTCGTTTGAACTCAAACGCTAGGATCTCCCTGTCAAAGGAACTACAGTGACATCAGTTGATGCCCTGAGCCATCGATGGCGGTAATCCCCTTTCAATTTTAGTTACCTGAGAAGGCATGGCCGTTTCGTTCATGCGGAGTTTCGGAGGAAATACATATTTAAAAAAAATATTCTATTAAGAAGTAGCGCAAACATGTTCTCCCGAGAAAACCTCGGATATAGCTGAACGTGCAGAATATTCGGAATTGTGAATGTGAAGTCATAGGAATAATAAAATGCTTGTGATAGAAGTCTTAGTTCTATTATCCACAAACGTTTAGAGGAGGAAACCGTACCGACGACGATGGTGGTGGCAAGGGCTGTGAGGGGGACATGGCCAAGTCCGCCCGTAACTAGGCTCACGGACGACACTTGCATCCGGCGCTGACAATTAACCAGTGCTGTACTCACATGGGTTTGCGGCCGGTGGCGAATAGTAGAGCGTCACCGATCAACGCCAGAAGCAGATGGAAGAAGAAGAACTGCACGAGGAAGAGCAGGCGGTTTGTCGTAAGAGAGCCGCACGGGTGGTACAGGGTGTCCGAAAAAGGCAGCTCGGCGCTGGCCTCGTACGCCATGTCGATGAGGCGGCTCTGAGTGATGCGATGCATCCCCGATTGTGCGGCGTGGTAGACGAGCGGCGGCCCCAGCCTGCGCAGCCACACACCGCACACCCTTCACTCAGGACCAGGGTCGTCGCGCACTGGTTTGCCGCCCTGGTGCAAATACATGGTGATGATTTGAAATGGAAAACTTCCACTGGCCAGCAAAATCCATAGCCATGGACATTATTGACCATATCTGGGATACCTTGCAATGTGATGTTCAGATGAGATATCAACCCATTTGTACTCTTACGACTTTATTGACAGTCCTGCAGGATTCATGGAGACAATTACCTGCAGCACTACTTCAGACATCAGTCGAGTCCATGCCACGTCGTGTTGCTGCGCTTCTGTGTGTTCGCGGGGGACCTACACGATATTAGGCAGGTGTACCTGTTTCTTTGGCTCTTCAATGTATAAAGACTCTCACCCCTTCCTGGCGACCTCGCAGCTGCACAAGACAATCCCCTTGACGGCGACGTCGCAGGGAACGTAGTCGATGTAGCTCTTGGGGTCGTTGTAGCACGTGTGCACGACGCCCTTGCCGGCGGCCACCATCAAACCCATGGGTCCATTGAAGTTGTCAATCCAACCGGGGAACGGGTCAATAGCAGTAGCCAACACTGCAACAAGAACACAACAGTAAGATAAATACAAGACCTCTTGTCGATTCTTGATGTTGAATCGATTGTTTCCGGGTACGTCAACTGTTGACATTTGAGAGTAGTGCTTATTCTTTCTCGAAAGATGGCTGTGTTCACTGCACTGGATCGCTGGAAGAAACACAGTGTAGGGGATTTCCTTCTTCTGTTACGGACTCCCTCCAGCGGGGCACCGCCCCTTTTGGACATTCTCCAAATCCTCGACTGGTTCTCCAACATGTGTGGTAGTGTACAACTTGTATGTGTGTAAAAGGAGAAGATAGGACAAGGAAGAGATGAGACGGAAAAGATCCGGTCCGTGGTCTTGGGGTGACAGCGGGGAAAATGGACCTGGCTGTATGGCTGGAATAGAAAATTCGCAACCGTTGGACTCAAGTCCTAGGACCTCGGAGTCCGAAGTCGCTGCTGATACAGCGGCATTGCTGCTGGCTCTGAGCTAACTGACCCGGTGTAGGTCCTCTCGGAGGCAGGCGGATCACGATATGATAAGTCGTGTTGTGTGCTGCCTTTGGAATTTTGTGGGCATATGATGCAGTTTGTGGTGACAATAATTTGGATACTTACTGCGCAAGGTCATCGTATGTAATTGCGCGACATTCTATCATAATTCCGTTCGCATTTCCATCAGAACTGCTCCTTCACATTCGCCACGAACACTTGTTGGTAGATGAACTAAATGCTAAGTGAAATGATGACCATTGAAAATAAGAGCGCATTTCTCAGAAAAAATCTTATAATCCTTTTTTTTCGAGTATATTTTTTGAATAAAATACTGGTTTCCCGAAAACTGTACATGTATTTACTGCTCCGATCTTTGAATCTTAATTAAATAGCACTATTTTTTCCTGTGGAATATACTTGTACATTAGCTGAATGCTTAAAAATATTCAAAATTATGATATTGATATTTTATTGGTAATTTGTGGTACTTCAATTGGCACATACATTCTCGTACTAGGGTTCTGATTTCTTTGGTCTCAGCTAGCCTCCTACTCTTGCCAGCTACCATTTATCGCCACCCAAAGTATGTTTGTCCAAACATTTTTCAATTTTTCCGTTTCCTAATAGTAGAACCGAAATATTACTTTCAGAATATTATAGAAGAGTAAAATATCACCCTTTAAGAAAATTTTTGTTCAATACTGTGTAGCCGTTCATAAGAAAATGGACTTTAAGCGTTGCTGTAAATGTGAAATTTGAAGCTCTTTTTCACAGAAATCTTTTGAGTTTTCGTGCAACTTTATTGGACGTGATTTGAAGTAATTCTACTCACAAATGTTTACAAATTAACTAAATACAAATACAACAACAAACACATAATACTGTAACGAATATTGCATCATCTACCGGGATTCACTGCGCGGATTGCGTCATCTGCCGGCGCCCCCCTTCCCCCGAACTGGACAGTTCCGAGCGCCGGCCAGGTATAAATTCGCTGCTGCCGGCGGCCGGTAGTTAGTGTAAATAGTTTGAAGTAAGCATTCGCGAGTCAGTTAGTGTATGTAATCAGTCAAGTAGTAAACAATCAGTACGTCAGTGTGTCTGAAATGGAAGCTGTGCTGTAAAGTGTGCATTGCGGTGAACAGTGGTGCAGTGGGTGAAGCAGTCAGCAGTTTGTAGTCTGCAGTGGAAGCTGAGCTGTGAAGTGTGCTTCGCGGTAAACAGAAGTGCAGTGGAACCTGGTGTGCACAGTGAAGTGTGGTCTGTGCAGGGAATTGTGGTCTGCGCAGGGAATTGAGGTCAGCGCAGTGGACCGTGGACAGTGCATCGGACTGTGTGATATTGTAGAAGAAGTGAAAAGTGTAAATAAATATTCAGAAGAAGTGAACTGTGTAAACCAATAATAAAGAGAACGGAGTCGAGTGTAAGGAAAATAATCAAGTCTAGAACACAAAGGCTGTGTAATATATCTGTAAATAGATAAAGTGTTCTTAGTGTATAATTGTTTACAAATAAACATTTTTTTAAATTTTACCCGGATGTGTTTTAATGCACCACCGAGAAACGTTACAATACGTATACAAACTGACAGAAATTTGCATATTAAAAGAGTGAGATGTCAAAAAATTATATTTGTGTAATTAGAAAAATCAACAAAAGATTGCTGCCCGCGTTGGTGTTCAATGGAAAACAGCCGCGGACATTACTGTCACTATTTTTTCCTCACAAGAAGGTGGACAGGGCAGAGCGGCCGAGGTTCGAAAAGGTTGCCAGGGTGATGGTCGAGACTCATAGGGAGTTACTTCGCTGTATCCCCGGGACAGTAGTTGAGGTACAGGGAGCGAAGTGTTTTGCAGTACGGACTAGGGATAGAGTGGTCAAGAGACATCAGGAGAAGTTGTAAGACATTTTCCGGTGGAGGATCTGGACATCCTGTGAGACTTAAACGCAGGACTCCCTCTGAATAACGCAGCTGAGACTCCTTTCTTGCATGGAAAGCGGAGTATTTCTGCTGCAACAAGAAGAGCTCCGGTAGCCAGAGAAACATGTGTCGGCCCAGCCAGAGCAGCCGCAACAGGGCGCTCTTTTGCAGCGGTCACTTCAGAAAAGCCGAACAGGACAGAGGCCGGATTGCACCCAGTTTGAGCAGCCGCATCTTGACACCGAGGGGGAGCAGGAGCCAACGGAGAGCCCTCACATCAGACTTCGAGAAGGACCGCCAAAGGGCGCGCAGCAGTGGACAGCAGGAGCCGACGGCAGCACCGAAGGTTGAGCTTGGTAGCAGTCTGCGTCCCCGAAGCACCTCGCCGCGGCGTGAGCCGACGGTACACAGATGGAGGGGGCGTCGCCCTAGGCCCCGGCCTCGGTACTGGCCGTACCATAGCAGACAATCAGGCACCTCCGTTCAGAGACCTCAACAGAACGAGTCGGAGAAAATGGAACACCGGCGGTCAGAGTCCCACCAAGGGGAACAGGTGGAGCCATCGCAACACAGCCCGCAGAAGCGTTGCAGTAAAAGGTTGTGAAAATAATACAGACCGTGTCAAGCGCCGTAAAAGGAAAGGGTGCTGTGGCCTAGAAGTGCTGGCCGTGGGAGCTGCTGGCTCCGGCTGACGTCAGCCCGGCAGGTAAGCGCAGTGTGGCGGCGCCGCCGATGGCGCTCGGCAGTATGAGAGGTGCGGGAAAGCGCCGCCAGGTAGCAGGTCAACTGCGATGACCGGGCGAGCAGCAGACGGGAACATGACGCGACCATTGAGGATAGCCGCCCCTTTTGCTACTCGCCCGGGCATGTTAGGAGAAGATGAAGACTCGCTCCGCGGGCTTTAGAACTATATAACCGTGTGCCCTCGAGCCCGAGCAATGAGAGAACAATCGTGTTCAGTCAGTGCAAATGGTAGTGTGATGTTATGGCCCGCACAGAAGTGACGAACTGTGCGAAATTACGCTTAATTTTCTGGAGGCTTGGTTGGACTCCGCAGTGAATTGGGATAGCTTCTGGAAAGACGGAATTTAGGCTTGTACCTCGTGATTCTTGGATTTCGGTTGTTGGAGAATAAAGACTTGTTAATTGTAGGAACTGTTGTCCTTTCCTCCTTGATTACTCCTGAATACACAACAAATACAACAAAATCAATTCTATGTATCTTAAACAGTGCAATTATCACTATCCATACGAGAAGTTTGAAGAAATAAATTGCATCAGTTTTCGAAAAATGGTCTGAGTTTTCAAGGAAAACTTTTGAGTTTTCAAGAAATAACGTGAAAGGTGGTTCGGAAATATCTGAAGCTGCAGACGCAACACCTACCCACTGAAGGGCGTACGATGCCCACGGGCAGGCGGGCCGAGTAGTGGTCCACGATGTGCTCCGCCAGGTTCTTTGTGAATGTGTACGTGTTGCAGTGAGGGCCCAGAATCCTGTGATCATAAAAAACAGCGTGCTTTAGATAGCGTACATATAGAATCAAGTAGATCTTAATAATAATTTTACAAATGAATCATTACTGTGCGATATTTCATTATATTCTGGACCTAAATGTAGCTTCACTATGCGCACGTTTTGTTGAGCTCTCCTTTTGCTAGTAGTGAAAGTAATTGAGGCGGGGATTTTGTTAGAAATACTATAATCTCAAATATGTAATTCGTTTACCGTTGCAAATAAGTTTTCTATAACTCGGGAGCGAAAAGTATATTAGTATATAAAGTATATAAAAGTATACTAGTATATTTCCAAATGTTACTAACCTCGCTTTGTTGAATAATTAAAACTTTTACAAATTTTAAAATTTTCGACTTAACAATGAAAATCGGATCAATGCTATCTTTATAAGTGTATTACTATCCGTTCTAGCAAGAAATATACAAACAACATGTGGAGAGTTTTGCAAAAGTTTGAATTTATGCAAAGAATTCACGTGAAATACCTCCAAAAATTCAAAATATTCAAATTTGTTGAAACCTTGTGTCGGTTCAGATCGATCGTGAAATATTACAATATTTCGTAAAAAAAGACTATGAAAAGTTGCCGCGCACGGTATTGTTCAACGCGGACAGAGAAATAATAATACTTTTCGGTATTAAGGACCCCAAATATGTATTTCCGTTAAAATATCGAAATAGATTTTCCACGGCATTAAATAACATTCTCTATTCTACGTATGACTTACGTAGTAGATGCGATAGTAAATTAAGGATACAATAACTTACGTAGTAGATGCGATAGGAAATTAAGGATACAGTTTTAATTTTCATTGAAAAATGCAAATATTTGACTGTGCGATTCCGCCTATTCTCATGTTGCTCTTTCCGACTGAATTTTCATATGAATTGTGTTTCTGTTTACTACACAGATGTCTACATGCGACAGCAATGCTCTACGGCACAAGCGAATAGGCGACATGCGACAGCAAGGTTCTAAGGAGGAGAAAGCTGCCCACCATTAAGTATTTGTTATTCGCGTGTTGCATTATGGATCAGTAACATTTTTGATATCCTTGGTATGCAAAGAATGGATGTGCTGTCTATCATTAGGTACTTAAACTGTTTTTACAGTTTTCGTGAAGACGGTTTTTGTTATAATATTTGAATTATTGCAATAGTGTACGAGAGTATTGTATTTGTTGTCGCTGAGCATTGTGCGTGCTACGTTTGTGTCGTTTCGTTCAGCGTAATTGTTTCTCCAATAGGCCTATACTGAGTACTAGAGAAAGAACCACGTCGTGTGCTTGAGGGCTGTGCTCACTTGGTTGTGAGTGCGCGCAGGGCCACTGGGTCGCTCTGGCCCTGCGCCTCCACCAGCGCCAGGATGGAGCGCCAGTCGCCCGCCACCGGGTACAGCTTCTCCTCGAACTCGCGCTGGCGCTCGTTGCAGAAGGTGGTCGACACGTGCACGAACGCCTGCGACACATGATTGATTGATTAGCGATTCCGCAGACGTCAACTGCTAAGGGGATTAGTCCCGCAAGTGCAGAGGATGATTTTTTATGGAGGGAGGTGGTGGTGAACTTCGTCCGCTGGATGGGGATCAGTCACCTAACTTTACGTTGTCTAGCGGGGTTTCACCGACTAGGTGTCTCCTATTGGAGGGCATCGTTCCAAGGGACAAGCTGGGGCAAGCTCTACGTTCCCCACATGTGTGGGGGCCCCCATAAGTGCACGGAAGTGTGTGTAAGCAAGGGGTTAGGACAAGAAAGAAGAAGAAGGAATGATCGCGCGCGGGTGGCGGCCCCGCTTGTTAGGGTACTTCTGCTGCGGCATTCGCCTGATGTTGATCGGAACAGAGCGCCCAGCCGCTTGATTCTTCCTCCAGACAGCGGCCGAATTCGACCTAGCTATGACGCTAATGTCGAAAATTTTGTTGAACGTCACGTTGAACAAGACTACTAAAACTCATTTTTGGATGTGTTTGTGTGTATGGAGGGGCGCTTAGAGAACCAAGAAGTCTGAAGCAGTTGATGAGGGCGCACTTTATTTTTAAGTTCCGCCCCCACCATATATTAAAAGAATTCATTTCTCCGTACAACACCCGTAGAGCCTTTTTTAAAGAGCTGATTTTTTGGAACACACTTTGCCTAAGACAAACATATTTATCTTCAATTTTGTAGTTTTGAAATGAAAACTTTTTGCACTTTTCGAAAATAAGGAGACTTCGCCGAAAATTGGTCTAGCACCATAGTGTTTACCGTTCTTTATTACAGAGGAGGAGTAAATTTAAGGAAAAAATATTCTGAATCATGAATTTTCTCAAATTGGGGTCATATTGTGTGTCCTTTTGCTCTTTCAGAATCGTATTGTTCAGTTCCTTCACCAATATAATATCACTATCTTGTCCTAAAACCTTACAGGTCATTAAAAGTAGTTTTTATTATTTTTTTTATTTGTTTTGTACATAGTTCAGTTTTAGATAACTTTACATATGTATTGATGACTTATAACTTAACTTATTCTAAACTTATCCTAACTTAATACAACTACGGAGGTTGAGGAAACCATAATGGCACCTCATAGGAGCTATTCCAGATCAATTTATAAAAGAGAACAATTTAAAAAATATGTTGAATGGATATTTATTTTTTATGTGAGTGGAATGGATGGGGCTTTTGTAAAGTTTCAATGAAGATAAGGTTTGGATATGGTGTATATTTGAGAACAAATTGTGGATAGGTAGGTGATGTGGTGCATGATGGGATCGATGTTGAATTCATTATGTAATTGATGATTAGATATGAACCAGGGTGCATTAGTAATTGTACGGAGGAATTGATGCTGTACTTTTTGAATTTTGTTGATGTTTGTTTTTGCAGCATTGATCCATACTGGGCAGGCGTAGAGAAAAGTAGGTCTGATTATTGTTTTGAATAAAGGTAATGCTGTTCTCTATGGAAGGTAATTATTTCTATTTATTAGAGTTTTTAATTGATGCACTTTGTTTTTAGTTTGTATTATTTTGATGTCTATGTGTTGTTTCCAGTTCATTTTGGTGTCCATATGCAGTCCAAGATATTTTATGGGTTTATTTGGTGGGTACCATGGGATGGACTCATTATTTAATGTTAGTGGGGTTGGTGAAGTGTATGGTTTAAAGAGAATATTTTAGCTGCAGGTTTTGTTTAGGTTTAATTTTATTTTTAATTTGCATGGTTTAGATAGAATTGTATGTGGTTTTTAATATTGATTCGAGATTGGCTGGAAGAGAAGATAGTGTGTCATCTGCAAACTGTGCTGTTTTTACTGTTTCATCTATGGGGATGTCTGCTACATAGAGATTAAACAGTGTGGGTGATAGGGGGGATCCTTGTGGTAATCCTGTTTTGATTAACCTGGGATTTGATTGATAGTTGTTGATTGTCACTGCAAAGGTTCTGATTTAAATGGGGTGAATTACTGAGGTGACGTAGTGTGGAGTGCCTATTTTCTTTAATTTATATATTAGTACCTGGTGCCAGACTATCAAATGCCTGTGTTATGTCGAGTGATATGAGTATTGTATGATGTTATTTGTATGTTGTTGAGATGTTCTGTGATTCTGATGAGTTGATGTTGTGTGGACATATGATCAGTGTAGTCCAAACTGCTCTCTTGAGATTGCTTTTGTTTTTTGTAGGTGTTTTTTAAGTCGGAGTATTATTTTTCGAAAATTTTAGACAGAGATGGTAGAAGGCTTACTGGGCAATAACTGTCGGTGTTGGCTGAATTTTTATTTGGTTTCGGAACCGGAAGAATGGTGGCATGCTTCCAAGTGGATGGAAAATGATTGTTGTTCCTGAGCATGATTTGTATATATTTGTTAACGGAAGTGCAATTGCGCGGGGACTAGTAAGTGTTTTAGTATTGAATTATTGATATTATCATGACCTGGTGCTTTTTTATCGGGAGAGAGTTAATGATTTGTTTTTATTCTTTAGGGTTTGTGTAATGAATTTTGTGATATGGGCCGTAGTTTGGGAGGTTTATTGACTGTATTATTGTGTTCTGTTCGAGTGCGGTTAGATTGTTGAGTGTGAAAGTCGACTCAAAGTAATTGGCTATTTCTTCCGCCTTGTCGGTGGGGGTGAATAACTTGCCTTTCGGTGAGTTGATGGGTGGAATTATTGTTTTCTTTTTTAGTATTTGTTTGCTGAATTTCCAAATAGAGTGGTTTTGTGCAGTTAAAGATTGCGTCTTGTTCTGGAATTTGAGATTTACATGATTTTTTTATTGATTTCTTAACTATATTAGTTAATAAATTTAGTTCAGCTTTTATTTGCGAGTTTTTTGGTTTGGTTCCACAGTCTTCTGGTATTGTTTGTGACGCATATTATGTTTTTGATTTCTGCAGGTAGAGCAGAATAATTAATTATGTTATGTGTTTGTGTATTTGTGGGCTGCGTTTCTGTTATTGCTGTATGTATTATGGTGTTTAGTAATATTACAGCAATGTTTATTTCTAAAGAATTATTTAAAATTTTAATTTTTGGTATTAAATTGCTGTTTTTTTGGGGGGGGGATTTAATGTAGTTTAATTTAAGTGTGTTTATTTTGGGGATTGGGGATCGCGGGGGTGGGATTTGTCGAGTAAGTATATTTACCGGAAGATGGTCAGAGTCGAGTTCGTGATACTGAGTTGAGTAAAAATTGATATTGTCGTCAGACAGTCAAGGATGTCAAGGATGTTTGGTTGCTTAGTTATGTCTCTTGGATAGTACGTTGGTTCAGGAGGCGATAGTATATTGGTATTGTGGTATTGTTTATAATATGTGTTAGTATTTTTCCTGCTTGATTGCAAGTGCGACATCCCCAGTTTGTGTGTTTAGCGTTTAGATCACCTAGTATTAATGTTTTTTTGTTTGGGCTGAATAGATTATGAATATTTTGGGGTTGTATTTTTATTGATGGAGGTTTATAAGCAGTTATTATATTCCGTGATTCATTGTTCATTG